GCTTTCGCTGACAGTGCCCCATAGAGTGTGACCATCGAGGCCCTAAGGCCAGCCACCCCGAGTAGTAGTACTATAGAGATGTTAATCCTACAGCCAAGCTAGTCAGATCTGCGGTCACGTTGAATACCACTGTTCTGGCGGTTTGTGAACGCAATTTCATAAACAGAGAGGTTTAAATCAAAATCATAACACCGGTGAGTGTATATAAGCATACGATTGTATTTTTTAAGCCAAATTAACGAAATTGGAATTTATAATTGGCTGTAATAAGCGAAATTGGACAGATAATTGGTTTTAACAAGCGAAAATGGACATATAGTTGGATTTAATAAGCGAATTTGGACATATAGTTGGTTTCAATAAGCCCCGCGGCAAGAATTGACTATGCACACATACGTTGGAGTCGAAAATGTACAAACCAATGAACGGTTTGCGGAGAAGCCAAGGGTATTCAGTTGTGTAAATAGTTTAATGTGCGAATGCAAAAGGAATAAATCGATATCACATATTTTAATACTAGTCTCACGCTATATACGTATGTTATAGTGCACCTTTCCTACATATGTAGAAGCTTCGTTTTCGAATTACATCATATACGTATATTCTATTGCACCTTTTGCATATGTGTATATGCTTCACTTTCCACCCACACTACTGGTATTTCGTCATAAATGTATATCATATGTGCTTGTTTGTTGAAGGTCCCTCGGGGTGCTGTAGAATCGCATGGCTGCCGGAATTGATGCACCAAGATCTGGATATTATATCACCATGCATGCCCAGGCATGCCTATATATATATACTTTCCAAGCGTGCACATTTAAGTCCATTTATACTTTCCAAGCGTACACTTGAACCCTTTTCAAGTTCATTCTATTTTTTCAAGCGTACACATGAACACTTTTTAAGTCCATTTATACTTTCCAAGCGTACACTTGAACCCTTTTCAAGTCCGTTTATTTTTTCAAGCGTATACTTGAACCCTTTTTAAGTCCATTTATTTTTTCCAAGCGTGCACTTGAACCCTTTTAAAGTCCATTTATACTTTCCAAGCGTACTCTTGATCCCTTTTTGCATCACCTTGGCACGGAACTTCCGTTCAATTCGTTAACGCATTGGTGCTTCTGTGCTTTGCCTTGGACTGTAGTACTACCTGGCGCAGCGTGTGCGGAAGCACTTTGCGGCTCTGTTGACGCCGAAGTACAAGGCCACTTTGTACAAGTTCCAACAGACACAAATAAGCCGCACCGGTCAGAGGTTAGTGCTAAACGTACTACAAGTATAACTACTTGCTCATACGCATGTCATGGTTGTTGACTGACTTAAGTCCTTGCGGACTGTCTCTGTTTTGAATGTGTCGGTACTGCTGAGCTGGTATCGATGGGGACACTATAGTGTGCATGGTCTATGAACAAGTGCGAGCTCTCAACTCTACAAGAACATACAGACGCACGCTGCAACACTGCAGGCCACCTTTGTATTCACAAGATCTTACTAGTACAAAGCCTTGAACGGCACGTGTGTTGCCGCACGCCTACAATGTACATCAGCGCGTCTTCGTTCGGCGTAGTAGGTAAATTGCGCATTTATCTAGTTGATCGGACACACGGTCGTGTTGTCGCGTTCATGAGAACCCTGAAGCCGTGCTTGTCCCACGGCTGTCTCACTTGCCTTTTGCCCATTTCATGGCCCTCATAAAGGATGCATTTCCCTCTTGGCGTTGGCAAGCCAAACTCAACTGCTTGTGTTCAGATGCAGCAGTAAGCTAGTGCGAGCGTCCTCCACTACATATACTTGCATTTCTCTCTTGGCGATGGCAAGTCATACTCAACTGCTTGTGTTCAGATGCGGTAGTACGCTAGTGCAAGCGTCCTCTACTACATATACTTGCATTTCTCTCTTGGTGATGGCAAGTCATACTCAACTGCTTGTGTTCAGATGCAGTAGTAAGCTAGTGCGAGCGTCCTCTACTACAGATGCTTGTATTTCTCTCTTGGCGATGGCAAAGCATTCTCAACTGCTTGTGTTCAGATGGAGTAGTACGCTAGTGCGAGCGTCCTCTACTACATATAATGGGCGGTCATGAACTCTGCGCCATCCCCATTCTGTTTCATCACGCATGGTTTATTGCCGTCCCCATCCCTTTTCAGTGCAGCTGCGTTCACGTATGGTTTGTTCGAGGGCACTGGTGCTTTGGGCTCGAGCGGATATCAACCGATAGACATCACCTCTGAAACAATTGCCACAGACACCGAACTACGGTTCTATACCGTGTGCAAGGACTATCGAACACTCCATAAACGTGAGTCTCTGTGTGTGTATGCGTTTGTATGAATAATACAATGAGCCAGGGAAGTCAATGTTAGGCTCTCAATACAGCTGTATATATTCAGACAGGTTCTAGAAAGCTAGCACATGTCGTGCTATGCATTGTATCCCTTGTGCGTCTATATGTCAATCTAGTACATGCTGCTTTAGTATTGCTGATACCCTCACTTGACTCAGACTCATGGGATGACACAAATTATATCGATGCGATGTATCAGTGGCTGTCTCAGCTATTGCCAGACTAATCAGTCACCTATCGATGTGTGTTGAAAGACTCAGACTTGCCGGCTTCACTAGTTGATGTGTGTTAATAGACTCAGACATGCGTGTTTCACTAGTTGATGTGTGGGTAAAAGACTCAGACATGCATGTTTCACTAGTTGATGTGTGTTAAAAGACTCAGACATGCATGTTTCACTAGTTGATGTGTGTAAAAGACTCAGACATGCATTCTTCACTAGTTGATGGGTGGTAAAGTACTCAGACATGCATGTTTCACTAGTTGGTAGACTCAGACATGCATGCTTCACTAGTTGATGCGTGTTGAAAGACGCAGACTTGCTGGCTTCACTGGTCTCATGTCACACGGGACGGGTCTGTTGTTCACATTTAAATCCAATCTGTAGACAGCAACCAGTTGACTACTGTTAAACTATAGAGGGGTGGCTGTTGTATGGGTTCAGTATCACGCAACATAATGTCCGTCCCTCTCTCGGCTGCAGAAACGGAAACCACCAAAGAGTTTAAACGCTTCAAAACGAGTGATCTGGTAACCAAGCAAGTTCAATATGTCAGCGCTAGTGTGGGCTTCGATGTGACATTTCCGCAGGTGTGTTTCCGCCTGTATTGACTATGCTGCCCATAGTGTTGCCTTGCTTGCACCCCACACAGTCCCCGTATGTGGACTCAATCCGGATATAAAAGCCCAAATGATACATGCATTCTGTGTATTCCTGAGGCGGTTGTAAGGTGTCGTCCTTTCAATTTCTATTGACGATGCCCTCATTGAGCGTGCCGTCAAATCTAAGGAACCCAAACCCCAAAACCCAAAACCCTAAAACCCTATGCACACGCCAGCTTCACCTCATCCACTGGTAGGTACATGCCTGCTGTCGCTCCCTTGAAAGTATCATCTGACACGTGCAATGTCTGTCACTGCTAACCACAGGTGCTTGCCATGTACCGTGCGTGCAGTTACGACACATACTTCCACGACAGCCTCAGTCCCTGGTGCACACTTCTGGGGCCGGAGACCTTAGAAGTACTCGAGTTTCACGACGGTATGCGCCTGGCAAGGCATCTGGCTTGCGCATCACTCAATGCGTCTTGTACACGAGCGGGCTCTATAAGCAGAGGCATGCTTGCCAAGCAATCTATCAATCAATTCCTCTCTATGATCGGGTTTTACAGGGATCGACACTACTTGTAATAAGCGAATCTATGAAGATGAACTCACAACCAGGCAATCTATCAATCAATTCATCCCTATGATCGGATTTTATAGGGATCGACACTACTTGTAATAAGCGAATTCATGAAGACACATTCACAACCAAGCAACCTATCAATCAATCAATTTATCCCTATGATCGGATTTTATAGAGATCGACACTACTTTTAATAAGCGAATTCATGAAGACACGTTCACAACCAAGCAATCTATCAATCAATCAATTCATCCCTATGATCGGATTTTATAGGGAGCGGCACTACCTATTGTAAGCGAATCCATTAAGACGCACTCACAACCCCCAGGCTGCCCTCTATCGTAGTGATGGCTATAAGAGTTTTCAATGTTTCCGTTCAAGGCGAGAAGTTGTGAGGCAACATCAGCTTTTGATAGGGACACTTTTAATTGTGATTGGTCGTCTCACCCAGACCCAGTATGGTTGTCAGAGAAGGTGCTGATGTATCGAATAGTTGTGTATATATAGCCCTGGTAGGCTGACTAGTGCTATTGAGCATACCATGCGTAGCCACCAATATGCCGTACACGGCATTTGTCTCACCCGCGACTGAGTGTCGTATGTTTCAATAACATCTATTTGGATTGTAACCTCACAGATCTCAAGCAGTGGTGGGTGAAGAGCTATGGACACACCCTCAACTATGCCATTGCCTGTCCGTTAATGAGCTCGATAGTCGAAGAGATAGAAGCCGTCTGGAAAGGTATGAGGACTATGACACGACATGCGATACTAACTAGCTATACGCATATCACATGAGAGTACCCTACACACTCAGACCACACCCATCAGACTATAGTCTGATACGATTAACACGTGTATGCAGGGGCATTTGCTAGCATCCTTCGCACATGTCTGTCCACTTACATACTCATTTCATCTCATCTCAACCACGGACTATCGCAGTGGCAATTACATACTCTTTCCATCTCATCTCAACCACAGACTATCGCAGTGACAATTACATACTCATTCCATCTCATCTCAACCACAGACTACCGCAGTGGCAATTACATACTCATTCCAACTCATCTCAACCACAGACTACCGCAGTGGGAATGCACACCATCTGCGTGCCCGCATTCGCTTCGGACACGCAGAGACGCTCCAACCGTTCATCAGCTTACTGGGACTGTATAGAGACGAGGAGGGGCTGTTTGCAAACGCCACCTACGACGCGATATTGAAGAGAAAGTACCGTGCGAGTACCATTGTGCCCTATGCTGCAAATGTTTTCTTCTCGCTAAACGAGTGCGATGGTAGGTACTTACTATCACTATTACTAGTGCTATTACTATCACTACTACTATCACTACTACTATCACTGTTACTATCACTATTACTATCACTATTGCTATCACTATTACTATGACTACTACATCACTAATCTGAGTAGGGGGACGTGTTAGTGGCAACGGATGTACGTCGTGAGACGCATTTGTGATTGCTTCAGTAATATCTAATATTTTTTACCGATTGATGCCAATCAGACTAACACTACATGTAGATAGGCCTGTGTGTTTGGATGCGCACTCTCGGTGGGTTTGTTCTTGTACAGTGAGTCATGCTTCAACTTATCGTTTCCTCTCGCGGTGTCTATGCATGTTGATCTAATACTCTGGTTTTGTGGCGTCGACTGGATAACAGTTGTGAATGACGAGACTATCGCGTTCTGCGTAGTGACCCCACAACGTAATGCCAGTTCACGATGAAGACGCGACACTTTGTATATGAGGCGTATTATCAAACGAATGGCACCTTAAGGACCACATACATTGAAGTAGTTTGACGGGGCTGTCACGACCTAGTTTACACCCGCAGAACGTGCTCGCTTGTCTTTTCATATTGGAACGGATACGGAGCATTTCGGCAATCCGCTATCGGAGAAATTGATGAAATGACAAGGCAGTACTAACAATCGCTAAACTCAATGAAAGGATATGCACATCCAAAAAAATGTCCTGAATGTTCAAAATGTCCTGAATATTTAAAATGTCCTGAATGTTTAAAATGTCCTGAATGTTAAATTGTCCTGAATGCTTAAAATGTCCTGAATGTTTAAAATGTCCTGAATGTTTAAAATGTCCTGAATGTTTAAAATGTCCTGAATGTCTAGAATGTCCTGAGTGTTTTAAATGTCCTGAATGTCTAAAATGTCCTGAATGTTTTAAATGTCCTGAATGTCTGTACTTCAACGTGAAGGCAGGTGAAGGATATATTGTCTTGCGTCTGCATACATGCGGAATAAGCACACCAACACGGAATAAGCACACCAACACGGAACAAGCACACCAGCACGGAATAAGCACACCAACACGTGTAACACTGTGCGCATCAATCCCTGCACAGGTGAGCCGTATGTCAACATGTATGTGAACGAGGACCTCACCCCCATCCCTGGCTGTGAAACAACGCCTTCGGGCGACTGTCCTCTCACTGCCTTTAAAGATACTTTCGCAGAAATTGTCGACAAATGCGATTTCGATGCTCTGTGCGGCACGCGGTTGCGCAAGAATGCGCGCGTGGATATCCCAGAGAGGCTGTCTGGTTCTGATTCGAATGATAAGCGTGGGCGTGAGGGTTCTGTTGCCAGAAACGAGCTGTAGAACATTGTAATAAAGGAAAGTAAAAGTCACCTCAACGCAATGGCGTATGGCAATACGTTCGCACTCATCCACTACATTTAGCATAGTGCCATTCATTGTGCTACAGATTTTTTTGTCGAGCTTCAATTAGTCCGTTGATACCAATTTGGCAAGTAAAATTCATCTGCAAGCCCAATCCTATTGCGATATATTTTATTCTGCAAGTATTGTTCAGCCTGCTTTGTTAAGGTGCTTCTGTCGGCCCCTTTTTAGATTAAAGTAAGTTCATCTGCACGCCCCACCTTATTGCGATCCTTTTTATTATGCAAGTATTGTTCATATTGCTTTATTATGCAAGTACTGTTCATATTGCTTCATTAAGGTTATTGTTCAACCTGCCTCATTAAAGTTATTGTTCAACCTGCTTCACTAAGGTGCTCCTGTTGGCCCCTTTTTAGATTAAAGTAAAGGTGCTCCTGTTGGCCCCATTTAAGAATGTTGCTGTGTAATTACATTGGCAGTGTACTGAGCTCTTTGTCTCATCGAATGTCTTGTGTTGCGGTCCGCAGTGCTTCATCAATAGATAAGTTCATGTGTGTGGTAGGCCCAGGTGGTGGGCCCAGGTGGTAGACCCAGGGAGGTGGTCACTCTCTCCATGCCGAAAAGCTTAACACATCCGCACACATGTCAATCGTAAGCCAGTGGTGGTGTGTGTAGGATATAATCGAGTTTACGGGCCACAGATGGCCTCCTAACTCTTACCGTAGATGTACCAGGTTGTTGCGGGGGTTGATTAAACGACCACAGCGGGGCTGGTTCGTTGTCCGTATGACTGTATCAGTCGCCCATAGCCTTTGAGTTAAACTGAGTGGGAGAATCCGGGATGTCCCGGGCTCCTGGGCCGATCGAACGACAGTGTGGTGGGTCGTGTAATGTGCTTCACTTCCTTCGCCCGCCTGCGCCAGCACACTTCCAGACCAACCCCACCACGAGCCTTGCACTCACAGCCGCCCTGACCGCTCCAAAGACAATGTATACGCCAGTACTAATGCCGCCACCCTCAGGCCCACCCCCCAGCGTCCCACTCAAATGCCGCGTATCGATGACAAAGGTCTCGCCAGTGGCCCTGTCCTGTCCCGTCAGTGTGGTGCAGTCCTGAAACGCCATGCGGTTGGGTGAGTTTGGCCCTGCATCGCATATATCTCCCACCACAGCTGTGTCTATCAACAGCTGTGCCGCCGCTCTGGCGCTGATGCCTGGGCGTGCGGCCAGTAGATTAACCAGCAGACCCGACACCATAGGTGCGGAAAACGAGGTCCCAGACACACGCTGAGGTGCATCGTTCAGGCCTGTAGTCACTAATTCTCCCCGGGTGCAAACAAGTCCACACACGCCCCGAAATTACTGAAACCGGCCCGCTGGTCACTGACATCGGTGGCCCCGACTGTGATGGCCAGGGCAGCACTGGCCGGCGAGGCTTCGCACGCGTCCAGGTTCTCGTTGCCGGCGCTCACCACCACGTGTATGTTGAGTGCATTCACCATCGCATTGACCATGCGGTTGAGCGTCACACTCCTGGGCCCACCCAGGCTCATGTTGGCCACCGTCTGCCTGCCGCTGCGCGCGTTTCTGTTGCGTTGGACGTCGTCGACTACATACTGCCGCGCGTCCATGGTGAGCCGCGTGTTGCCCAGCCCATCCGCCCCCGCCAGCGCCTTCACGCTGATGATGCGCGCTTGCTTGGACGTCCCATAACTCGTACTCCCCGCAAGCCCTGCGCTGTTTGTACCGTGTGGCGATGTTAGAGCAGCCTCTCCAGTGACATCCGCCCCAAACACGGCCCGACCCCCAAAATCAACGTTTGTGGTGTCTACACCTGTGTCAATGATGTACAGGTCAATCATCGGATCGTCGTTGGCGAGAGCTCGACCAAATAGGTATGTGCCGTTGAAGGCTGCCCTGGTACGTTTGGAGACGTGCTCAAGATTCCACACGAGACCGTCACTTGGCAGCATCTGTGTACAGTGCGGGTGTGAACGATTGTTAGGGAGGCTGTGTGGGTGGTGCAGATGAGAGGATTTGATGGTCAACATTGGCTAAGTTGGTACTGGCATGGATAGGTGGCCACTGGATAACTAAGCAACTCGCTTTGCACACGTTGTTCATATAAGTGCACGAGGAATATGGAAAGCTCATGTGCTGTGGCATGAAGAGCCTGTACTTAAGGCAATTCGCAGTAAGCTTGCAAGATCATAGATAGCGAACGCATACCTGACTGTCGCACTGGTCGGCCATTCTGTAGGATGGTTTGATGGGCTCCATGCTCAGGATTTCGGGCATTCTGCCATACTCCTCCAGCTCTGACTGTGGCATGCCTACAGATAAGCGAGTCCTAACAATTAGCACAAGCGTTGCAAATACACCAAAGGATGACATACTAGAGGGCGTTGGTGGAAAGAGAATGGATTCTCTATACAGATATACTCACACTCCGCCAGGGTTAGTAAAAAATGGTGATTGCAAATTAAAACACTAGTAATAGAATGCAGACCTTCTACAACATATTCAGTGTGATTTACGCACTACTGATTTCCAAAGGTGTTTAGTTTAAGTATCACAAGCGTATAAACATATAAACCTCATACAATGAAGCACTCCGCGCAAGACCGAGATTGCAAGCTACAAGCCAGCGCATGCACCACTATGGCTACACTGCATGTCACCCAAAACACAAGTGAAGCTAAGAATAACATACCGTGTACATAGTATGCGACAAAATCCCCAGCTCTGTACATTTTTGGGCGTTCGCCGCCAATGGTCTTCTCTTCCAGCATGCGCAAGTGATCCTCAGGTGCGCCCAATAGAGGGTCCATCTCACACAGCATGCCATTCTCCCACGAGAACTGCTCTGGGGGTAGGGCATGGATGCAATGACACACCGCGACAAGCATTCAGCTAACCACACCCTCCATAATATTAAACGGTGCTTAGATTAGCTACTTACTTAGGTATATTTTGATGTGTATATTTGGTGGTTTGTAAAATTGTGGCGTGGAATCGTTTAGAATATCGAATGAATATATATACATACATATATACAAATATATATACATGTATATATATACATGTATATATATACACGTGTGTGAGAGTATGGTTAAAAATTCGTTATCATGTCACGTCCGTCACTCAACCCTTCCTCTTACGCAAATCTCGAGCATTTTAGGGTTTTAGTGAAGTGAAAACTGAAAAGAGAATGGTATTTGGTTGTCAGACGTGATGTCATAGCCGAGAAGTGGATACAATGATTATTATTGGTTTAGTTTAGCCGAGTATATATGACGTAGTACAATAGCAGATCACTAGTTCACTGCATACCATCACCGTACGGTGACCATAGTACCAATAAAATAAAACACAGTGTAGTGAGTACTGACTACTGAGTAGTCAGTAGACTGTCTGTAGACTGCGAGTTGAGTCTGAGACCGGAGGCGTCGAAGCGCCATGTTTTGCTTGTTTTTAACAGAAAAAAAAATGCCACTGCACCTTACATGTATTATCTTTTCAGTACTCATGTACCACGAGACTTAAAAGACACTCATGCGAACATATGTATGTATTTATATCCTGTTTTCTAACACTTCAACTAGTTCGATTTTATTCTTTCATCTGTGTATGAAATATATAGGTGTGGGTGTATACCCGGGGGTAAGTTTGGAGTTTCGGCAACGTGCCCAATTTGATTTGCAGAGTTATAGTTAGGGGAGACAGTAAACACGAACCAAGTCGAACAAATCCAACGAAATCAACTGAATCAGCCGGTTGGTAGGAGTATCATTGACGAGTTCGAAAGCGATGCACAACAGTAAAAAGAACAGAACGTTTCTTGAATAAACCGACAAGCTCGGACTTGAATATGCATATGTAGTTTGTTATATAAACATAGCTATATAGCGCCTTGCTCGCTTTTTGCTATAAGTTGAACCAGAATCCTCGAGTTAGTGTGATACTGGCATACTTCGCACCATATTTCCAATGGCTGTATGAAAATCAAAAGTTGTGATCACAATAGCATCCGAAAGTCAGTAGGGTACCCAATGGTCTAAACAATAAAACACGGAAGTCGACTATGTGTATACATTGTCCATTCGACTTCCAACTTTGAATGATCCAAAACACATATCATCACAGAAGTCTCACTCAGCCAGCTAAAACAGCTGATGTAAATAAGTACCACACAACTAAATACCATATGCTATCACAAAGCTAGTTGTACAGTAGTAACACACACCTGAAGTAAACAAGCACCACACAACTGAATATCATATAGTATCACGTGTTATATACTATCACACATCTAGTTGTACAGTTAGTATCACACAGGTGCCACCTCGACTTATATATATATATATATATATATATATATACATACACTCCATACTATACATATACTATATATATATATATATATATATATATATATATATATATATAAATATAAATATATATATATCTATATCTATACACACACGCACACACACATATATATACATACATACATATATACATAAACCCTAAAAATGATGCACGCACAGCCACTATGAGACATCTACTTCATGATGTACGCACAAGGTCGTCATCGCGAGCAATCACAACAAAGTGTCAACGCATGCATGTATTCGGAGACAATATATTATTGTTCATACAGTGATCACCATGTTTGCGTGTGTGGGATTAAGGTTCAGGGTTTAGGGTTGAGGATACACGAGTGTTGACTACAACCTTGAGTGATCTGCGCGACGCTGAGCGCACCAGCAAGACACAACAGATGATGGTGGTTCTCTGGACGAGAGAAAAGCATTGTTTTAATTTTCCTCGTTAGTGTGTCTATACTGCAACACACCGCAAAGCGGTTCTTATCCAATATAGCCCCGTCAAAGGCCTAAGTGTCCCATATCAATGGCCCCGCCAAAGGCCTAAGTGTTCGATAATAAAGGCCCCGCCAAAGGCCTAAGTGTCCCATACCAATGGCCCTGTCATAGGCCGTGTTCCATACCAATGGCCCCGCCAAAGGCCTAAGCATCCCACAACAAAGGCCCCCATTTCTGACCCCATGTCTGGTGGACCACTCACAACGCTCTGTTCGTTCTCAGGCCACATAGCTGTATTTGTCCTTATTAGGACCGGTCCGCTCCAGATACTCTTTGTCTATCAACTGCTCAATGCACTTCTTCACCTGCGGAATGGACGCTGTGAATTTGCCGTGACGGGAGGATTGCACCACCACCTGCAGTTGGTAGAAACAAACAGTTAACAACTATGAATACCCGCATAGGACCACCACCTGCAGTTGGTAGAAACAAACAGTTAACAACTATGACTACCCGCATAGGACCACCACTACCTGCAGTTGGTAGAAACAAACAGTTAACAACTATGACTACCCGCATAGGACCACCACCTGCAGTTGGTAGAAACAAAAGTTAACAACTATGAATACCCGCATAGGACCACCACCTGCAGTTGGTAGAAACAAACAGTTTACAACTATGAATACCTACATAGGGGGCACGCACTTAGGGTGTGTATAGTATATGGTAATAGTCTTCGGTGTTTGGCAGTTGCAGCGCGTAGTACACACCCCTAGGCAAATCAACTCCAGGCAAAATATAACACACACACACACCTCGTAGGCAAATACACCTACACAAATAAACCCATGGAGACTATCACACCCACCCACCCACCCACCTCTTGCACCAGGTCTGTGTGGCCCAACAGCTTCCTGGCCTTCATAATACGCACAATAGTCGCCTGTAGGTAGAACACGCGATGCTCCTGCACAGCCCCATACGCTTCCTTGGCCTCCTTGGCCGGCTCAGCCTGTACTGCCTGTGTGATCTTGAACTTGGTACGGTTGCTGGCAAACCCCGTGTTGAGCTCGTATGCGCTAGTGTTGTTGTCGGTCGCGTGCAGCAGCAGCCGTGTTTTGACCAGAGAATCGAGTGTCCTGGTCAGCTCGCTGGCGTTCAGCTGTGTTTCCTCTTGAATCTGCCGCATGTGCGTGTGTGTGTGTGTGTGTGTAAGGAGGGGGTGAACGAGAGAAGGAACGTTCCGGTATTTTAATTCACACATCTTGCATGACGTACAGTCTACTGGACATGCACACACTAATTCATAGTTCATCGTCCCCCTGCCGAACGTGAGTGTGCGTGGTGAGCGGGAGACTTGCAGGCTTGTACATGCCTAACCTTGCATGTACTATCTACGGTGTGCCTAGGTTTTCAGGTTTTCACAGACTTGCCCTGTCATTTAACATTAACTTGTGCATTCTGGAGATATGTGAACGTTTCGATGCGAACGGCTGAGGTCACTTTCACAGGTCTCTGAAGACAACGAAACCGCTGTCTAAAGCACACACTCTGAAAACAGCGGTATAATATGTACTTGCAGTTAGGCGTACCAGCATTCATCGCATGACCCTCGCACGCTTATAAACTCGACTAAAGCGACCACATATAAACACACACACACACACACATATATATATATATATATATGGATATATATATATCCTATATATATATATATATATATATATATATATATATATATATAAAATATATAAATATATAAATATATAAATATATAAATATATAAATATATAAATATATAAATGTATAAATATATAAATATATACAGAAACAACCACTCACCTCAGCGAAGCTGTATGTATCTCTTTCGTTGAACATCAGTAGAACCGACGCCTGGTAACTTGTGGCTTGCACCTCATATCGTTTCTTCAAATATTTCAGCTTAATGTCCACCTGTGCATGAGTTCCACCATTGCATCGAACCCCCACGACCAGAGAATCCGTTCAGTCAGATCAGTCAGAGACAGTACAGACATTACCCAACCGAAAAATAACGCGCTGTGCCGTATCTGCCTACGTGTAGATACACAAATGGAATACATGGACATATTCCAGCTAACCTACACCTACAAGCACACACACCCACAGTCACGTAGCGCATACTTCCAACATGCAACATACTACACAACAGCCCAAAGCCAAGCGTCCGGTGTAGTAGTATACACCATCTCACATACCCTATAACAGCAGAGAGTAACTGTCCCAAAGGGTGTGGTAAAGTGTAGTACGGTATGTGTGTACTTTTGAGACGTGGTGCATGGTATAGTGCGGTGTGTGTACCTTTGAGCCGTGGTGCATAGTATAGTGCGGTATGTGTGTACCTTTGAGCCGTGGTGCATAGTATAGTACGGTATGTGCGTACCTTTGGGACGTGGTGCATAGTATAGTACGGTGTGTGTGTACTTTTGAGACTTGGTGCATAGTATAGTACGGTGTGTGTGTACCTTTGAGACGTGGTTCATAGTATAGTGCGGTATGTGTGTACCTTTGAGACGTGGTGCATCCACTGCAGTTTCCTGCCGTTGTGCTTCTCGTGATAAAAGGTTTCGAAGTGTTGCACAGCCCTCTCCATCGGACCTGCACACGGGACAAGCCACAGCAAAGGGGTTGGAGGGGTATCTAATAATTTTTAAATACATACAGCCACAGCCACAGCAAAGGGGTTGGAGGGATATCTGATAATTGTTAAACACATACAGCCACAGCCACAGCAAAGGGGTTGGAGGGGTATCTGATAACTCTCAACACATACAGCCACAGCCACAGCCACAGCTATATCAACTGCTGCAGTAGGTAGGTGATTGTATCAACTGCTGCAGTAGGTAGGTGGTTATATCAACTGCTGCAGTAGGTAGGTGACCATGCAGCTATATGCAAAGTATACATGCATACACCCGATAGCACAGACACAAACACTTCTATCAACTGCTGCAGTAGAGAGGTGTTTATATCAACTGCTGCAGTAGGGAGGTGTTTATATCAACTGCTGCAGTAGGTAGGTGGTTATATCAACTGCTGCCGTAGGTAGGTGGCTTTAGCAACTGCTGCCGTAGCTCAGGTGTCCATGCATACCAGGCAGGTCAAAGTCCGTGTCCACTGCGTTCAAGGGCCATGCGGCGCTTTGTAACACAAAGGACGAGAAATCTAAATCCATCACAATGTTCTTCTGCGCCACATAGGCCGAGAACTCTTGGTTAACCGTGGCCGACAGCGCCACGTCGGTGTACATACGCTGTAGCTTCATGGTGTATTCGAATCCACACTCCTGTGGGCATACATCGGCCATCAGGCATGTGTGTAGGCAAGTACGACAGTCAGAGGTTTGGGATACGAAGTTACATAGTATAGTTACATACCGCAATTAGCTAGGGATTAGGGTTTTTCTTTTGTTGATATATTCTGGGATCAGATACATAGACGAGTGGGCATGGTTGCCTAACACATGCACGGACACGTCCGCATGGGCTGATACGGTGGGGGTCATCAGCAGAGATCTCCCAATGTGCGACAGACGGGTGCAGAGGAATGAGCAATTCAAAGGGTACCACTGTCACCTGTACAAACGCATCAGTATGCAATAGAACACCATACCTACCCTGCTATATTGCTACAGATATACATCAGCAGGTGACATACATAGATCAGCAGGTTACATACATAGAAAATTATACCAACCCAATTATAATGCCACAGATATGCATCAGCAGGTGACATTCATAGAACACTATACCTACCCAACTATAAAGCCACAGATGTACATCAGCAGGTTACATACATAGAAAATTATACCTACCCAGCTATAATGCCACAGATATACATCAGCATGATACATACATTCTTGAGGTTATCAATCATCTTCTCTTCGGCCTCCTCAGAGACAGACTGCGAATGGATCAAGCGCTTGGCCAGCATGCGCGAGTAAAACTTCTGGAACACGTCTTTATCATCCACATACTTAAAAAGCGTCATCTGAAGTGGCAAGGGAGAGAGTCAGCAAGGTAAGAGAATGTGTTAGCATACATCTTTAGGGATGCACACACGCCCACACACACACACTCGTACACACGCACACATAGACACACACACACACGCACATACACAGACAGACACAGACACAGACACAGACACAGGCACCACATACACAGACAGACACAGCCACAGACACAGACACAGGCACCACATACACAGACAGACACAGACACAGACACAGACACAGACACAGACACAGACACAGACACAGACACAGACACAGACACAGACACAGACACAGACACAGACACACAACAAGCACGTATGATCATCGTACACAGACAGACACAGACACAGAAACAGACACAGACACAGGCACCACATACACAGACAGACACAAACACAGACACAGACACACAACAAGCACGTATGATCATCGACATTACACGCTTACATGAACAGAAAGCGCAAATGTGCCCGACAAAACGTTGCCTAGATACGACACAATCAGAAATACGAAGACAAATCCAGAGAATCACAAATGACATCACAAATGAGGCACATCAATGCAAGCCGTACACAGCGAGCGAAGACAGACCCGTGAGACGCCCAAGTGTTGTGCATGCGCTCCTTCAACCCATAGGTACATACGCGTGCAGTACAAGACGAGCAAACACATTGCCGGCGTGTGCATATCCGTTTCAAAGGTGTACCATACTCGTTCTGAACTTACAAAGACCATGCCACGCTCATAAACATATCCGTTTCAAAGGTGTACTATACTCTTTCCCAACTTACAAAGACAATACCACGCTCATAAACATATCCGTTTCAAGCGAGTATTATACTCGTTCCCAACTTACAAAGACCATGCCACGCTCATAAACATATCCGTTTCGAAGGTGTACTATACTCTTCCCAACTTACAAAG